TCGATCGTTTCTTGGAGTCCTCGTCGGCACGGCTCTAAAAGCGGACCAGGATTAATCCCAGGAGTGGTCCCAGAACCAGTCTTGAACGGACTTCGAAGAGGAGGACCAAGCATCTAAGTGTTTTACCTTTTGGGCCCGTCTTGGGGTGAGTTAGGGGGAGCCAGGAGGATGGAAGGGGTCGGAGATACAGGAAAGATGCGGTCGTGCACGAGTGCACGGGACTCGCGATAGGTGATTCTGAAGTAAAGCGAACGGCGGCATCCAGGTATAGCGGTGAAGCGAATCCTTCTTCGACATATTTGCACGGTTGTTCGCCGTCTCTGGGCTTGGTGGAGTTTCCCAAGGCCCAGGGACAACCACACACAAAGTCCGAATGCAAAGCCGATTCTGGGGAAAGCACTTGCGTCCAGGACCCGTCTCCACCAGGACGCTTCTGCCTCATGCCTCAGTGGGCGAAGGTGTTGGCCCCGACGACGCAATTGAGGAGTATGGAGCATAAGATTCGCACAGTCAGTCGTGGAGGTATCAAGCGCGCGTGTACGGATAAGGCTATGATGAGACGATCTTTACGCCTTGATCCTCGCTGCGCCCGTAGCCCTTTTGAGAAAGAGGCGTGAGTGCAATACTAGCACCCCTGCCATCCGCGCCCTCCTCTTCCCTCCCACCTCCTACTATACACGTTGGCATCTTTACACATATAGGTATATATGTACATTTAAGCCCACATATACGCATACATATACACACATACGCAAGCCTTTAAACTGGGTGGCGTTCCAGTGCAATTGTTTATCGAGCGAGGTCGACCCAGCAGCCCAAGCCCATGCCGACAACGTGGATGCGCTCCCGCACTGCACTTTACATAGCGAGAACGCTCCAGCAGCCCACGGCGAGCGCTCCAGCGCTGCATTTTCACCGAGCTGGGGTGCTACAGCAGCTCACGGCGTGCGCTCCAGCATTACGCTTTTTAGCGAGCGAGGGCGCTCCAGCAGCCCGAGGAGTACGCTCCAGCGCTGCATTTGCACCAAGCGCGAGCCTTCCAGCAGTTCAAGCAGAAAACAAGGGTATGACGTCGCTGTGGACGTCGCCGTCGCCGCCGTGGTCTTCGCCGTCGCCGCTCTCGCCGCTGTCGCCCTCGCCGTCGACGCCGCCGTCGCCGCCGTGGTCATCGCCACCGCCGCCGCCGTCGTCACCGTCGCCATCGTCGTCGCCGTCGCCGCCAGCGTCGTCGTTGGGGCTTTCGCCGTCGCCATCGCCACCGCTATCACCGCCATCGCCATCGTCGTCGTCGCCGCCGGCGTCTTTGACGGCGCCTTCGCTTCTGCCGCTGTCGGCGCCGACGTCGCTGCCGTCGCCACCGTCGCCGTCGTTGTCTGGTCGGCGTGGACGCCGTCGTCGCCGCGGCCCTCCCGTCGCCGTCGCTGCGGTCTGGCCATATATTCTCACTGGCAAACTGTTATACACTCTTGGCGATGCTTAAGAAAACCCAAGTTTTCGGCCAGAGTCTCGATTATTCTTAATGTTTCAATGTAAATCCTAAGATTTGGATAGACATTCTGGGTTTTTTCTCCAAGTTCTGAGACTATGAATTTCTTAACCCATGATTTCTAAAGCATTTCGCAGGGTGTACTGGCTGTGGGCAGTGAGCGGGGAGTCGCGCTTCGAAGATGGGTGCGCGGCTGATCGAGCGGATCTAGGTTGCGTTGCGTGTCACGCAGGCGAGGAGCCGTGATTTCATACGAGTGCACTGACAATCCCTGAGGTGCCCATCACATATGGTCATGTTCCCTGGTCTGCGCGGCAGCAAGAGGTTGGGGCTATAAAAGAGAAAGCGGAAGGCCCACGAGCGCGGTAGATTGAAGGTGTTAGCATGCACGCGGAAGTCAACGACTGGAATGGACTTGTCCCACCTCAAAAAATGCACGGAAACCAAAAACATGATGATGAGCCGTGCCTCCGAGCATTTACACAGTTACACTTCACACACACACACACACATACACGCATGCAAGGCAAACTAATGCACATGAAGATGATGTCTTCATAGAATGTGACCTCACCTTCGAGTGCACGAGCGACACGATCTCGACCGTCATCACCATCGCATTATCATATGCATATTCGGTGGGAGTTCCAGATTGTTGTAACTGGCGCATGTCGGGGTTGCCGGCTGCATCGGAACGCCCGTGCCTTCAGAGTCGATTGGCACTCAGTTGGCGCGTGGATTGGTGATCTGACAACGTTTGGACTGTCGACGGGCAACTGGCATTATCGTTTTCGTCCGCAGACCGATTGCCAGTAACAGCACGAAACTAAACATGTCTTAGGGGTAGCTCCAACAGCACCAAAGGAGTGTCCCAAGAGTGCCCCAAGGCAGCACAAGTCAGCGACCTAGTTCCCTATCAAGGGGAAGGCCCGTTCCGTCCCCATGCTAACCAGGTCTATCACGGTTCCAGCTCGATGCGCCGGGTAATTGCATGTCAGAGGGTTTGGCACGTCGTCAGGGGTGATTTCGAGGGATGCCAAGGGCCATCCGGACCCCGACTCCCCTGCTGATAGTACTCCTCATCCTGACCGTTCTCTCGTCCACCGTAGCCAGTTTGGCTCAGGCAACTGTCGACCGCATACCCCTTCGTCACGCGGAGACTGCGAAGAGCAGTTGGCCACAGTAGCACTTCGTTCGAACCAAGAAGCATTGAGGAGGTGGGCGGCAGGACACTTCTGGGCACTTCTGCCCGCGCGACAGGGGCCGCAGCTCTCTTGGTCAGGCTGGGCCGAGAGGGGCTGGGAAGATGCCGCTCGACCCGCGGCCGCCGCGCTTCGGGCTACTGCGGGAGATCGCCTCGGGGTCGCTGGCGGCGGGCTTCACCGCCTCGCTGTTCTCACCACTGGAGCTGGTGAAGACGCGGCTGCAGGTGCAGTACCAGTTCGGCCCGCCCCTCTACAGCGGGCTGGGCCACGCGCTGCGGCGCATCGCGGAGGAGGAGGGCGTCGCCGCGCTGTGGCGCCACGGCTTCGCGGGCTTCGTGGCGCGCGACCTGACCTTCTCCGGGTTCCGCATCGGGCTGTACCCGACGGTACGCTCGCTGTACAGCCGCAGGAAGACGGCCGGCGACGACGCGGGGCTGCCTGCGAAGGTCCTGAGCGGCTGCACGACGGGCATGGTCGGCAGCGCGCTGGCCAACCCCGTGGACGTGGTGCGCGTGCGGACCTCCGTCGAGAGCGGCGCGGTCGACGCCAGCTCGGGCCTGTTCACGACCGGGCTGCGCGCGGGCGAGGCTCCGCGCTTCCGCGGCTTTGGCGGCTGCGCGCGGCAGCTGGCGAGCGAGCCGCTGGCGTCCGGCGCATACGGCGGCGTGGGCGCGAGCATGGCGCGGGCGGCGGCGCTGTCGGGCGGGCAGCTCGCGAGCTACGATCACTGCAAGTACTTGCTCCTCAAGCACGGCGTATCCAGCTGCCTGCGGCGAGCCTCTCCCTCGTGCCAGTGCGGCATCGGAGCGAGCTCGGGGGGGCCCTTCCGAGCTTGTTCCGCCGAGGGGACTGGCAGAGCCACCTCGGGGCAGTCTTGGAAGCAGCGCCGTGGTGTGCTGTGGCAGGGCGGGGCCGTGAGACTGCGCGATTGCCGCGCTGGCTCTTGGAAGCTTTCGGGATGCTGTTTCGGGAGGCTTCTTGTGGACCTCTGTGGGGCGTCTTCGGGGCCTCTGAGGACCCTGTTGGGAGTCCTCCTCCTCCTCCTCCTCCTCCTCCTCCTCCTCCTCCTACTCCTCCTCCTCCTCCGCCTCCCCTTTCCTCCTCCTCCTCCCCTCTCCTCCTCCTCCCCCTCTCTCCCCTTCCCTGGCTTGCAGGACTTGTGCGCAGGTGCATGGCCTTCACGCGCAGAGCATGTGAAGCCGTCGCGACTGCACTTTTACAATCCAGCCGGGGCCCCAGGCTTGCCGGGTGTGTGTGTGAGGTGTATATATATACATATATATATATGTATATATGTATGTATTGGTTCAGCCGCCGATGTTTTGTATTTTTCGGGGGGCGACTTTGGGGCCGTCTTGTCGCCATGGTTCAGCCGAGCTCTCCCGAAGTTGCGGGGCTGCCCGAGCAGTTCCTGGGTCAGTAAGGGGGTTCTTTTGAGGCGGTCTGGGGGGGGTTCTCGGGACCCCTTCGGGCTCCCATTGGGGCCGCCATGCCATGAGGTGCTGAATGAGCTGAATACCACCATCATATTCGTCGGCGTTCCTCTTCAATCTTCAGGTACAAGCTGAAGACGACGCAGCCATACCACAACATCCTGGCCTGGCACCCAGTCTTCTAACTATAAGAATCGGATATAGTCATCCTGGCTCAAATGCAGAGGAAGCAACCGTCATGTCACAGGGGGGTTGTTGGACCCTTTTGGGGCCGCCTCCGGGCCCTAAGAGGCCTTATTGAAGCCAACTTGGGCAGAAGGGCGCGGCAAAACAGACCTTGCGCCCAAATCTCCATACTTTGACCTTTCGCCTCCCAGAGCCGACTCCCTGGGCGCTCCTTGGGGACGTCGCGGACTCTCCCGCGACCTCTCGAGGGTAGCCAAGGGCCCCTGGAGGATCGCCAGGTCGTCGTGGGCCGGTCGTGGGGAATCCTGCAGCCGCTTGGAGGGCGGTTGGAGGGCGGTTCTCGGAGCCTGGGGGAATCCTGGAGGGCGGTTCTTGGAGGGCGGTTCTTGGAGGGCAGGTCGTGGGGAATCCTGCAGACCCGCAGCCGTTTAGAGGGCGGTTCTCAGATTTCTCCCCCACGGCTTCTCGAGGATCCTTCGGGCCCCAGAGGATCGCTGGGCCGTCTTGGGCCGGCGGCGGGGGGCCTCTTGCAGCCGCCCCCACGAGCGGCCGCGGCTTGCCGCGAGGCCGCAGAGACAGCGCCAAGAAGAGCAAAGCTGCCTTATGATACGGGTTGGCTCCTCCTCCTCATCCTCCTCCTCCTCCTCCTCCTCCTCCTCCTCCCCCATCCCCCTCCTACCCCTCCTACCCCTCCTCCTCCTCCTCCTCCTCCTCCTCCTCCTCCTCCTCCTCCTCCCTCCTCCTCCTCCCTCCTCCTCCTCCTCCTCCTCCTCCTTCCTCTCCCCCCTCCCCCACCCCCATCCCCCTCCTCCTCCTCCTCCTCCTCCTCCTTCTCCTCCCTCCTCCTCCTCCTCCTTCCCTCCTCCTCCTTCTCCTCCTCCTCCTCCTCCTCCTCCTCCTCCTCCTCCTTTTTCCTCCCTCTTTTCTCCTCCTCTCTCCTCCTCCTCCTCCTCCTCCTCCTCCTCCCTCCTCCTCCTCCTCTCCTCCTCCTCCTCCTCCTCCTCCTCCGCCTCCTCCTCCTCCTCCTCCTCCTCCTCCTCCTCCTCCTCCGTACAATTTCAAGGAGAAGCCGGCCGCGGCGAAGATGGCTCTCCAGGGCGAGCAGCGGTACGGCATAGGACCGCGTCATGTGGACCGGCGGCGACCCCAGCGCGGGCGTGTAAGGTTTCACGCCGCCCGGGGTCCCGGGCGCGTGGTCTCGACCTGGTAGCGTCGTCGTCGTTGTTTCTTTCTGCCTCTGCCTCCTCACCCTCCCTGCCCTCATCTCCTCTTCCCCAGCGCCGTCCTCTTTCCAGTCCTCCCAGCCCTCCTCCTCGTCCAGGCGGCATCCTCCTTGTGTTCCCCGTCCCCCTCGTCCTGGCAACCGACACCTTGCCAGACAGCCATCAGCCGTGTGATCGTTTTCTTATTCGTTGTTTTGCCGATCGGCGCGGGCCCTCGCACCGCCCCCTCCCCCCATGGAGTAGATCTTGGCTGTTTGGGGCGGCTGTTTCGAGCGGGTGGAGTCTCTCCCAGAGGCAGCACTGTCGCAAACAGTCGCACTAAGCAGAGGTCCGCAGACGGCCCCCCCCCCCTCCTCCCCCCCCCCCCTCCGCCCAATGTCGAAACGCCGAATAAAAAACGTTCACCGCTCAAACGCGCTCCAGCGTGCCGAGAGGGCACGGAGGCGGGTTCGCGGAAGACGGCGCGCTGCTGCACGCCGTGGCGCCGTGTTGTCTGGCCTCGTGGCCGTGACGTGCTGCAATCCGCCCGACGTGGTCAAATCCAGAAGGCCGAAATGGCACAGGCGCGCATAGGTACGATCGCCTCCTCCTCCTCCTCCTCCTCCTCCTCCTCCTCCTCCTCCTCCTCCTCCTCCTCCTCCTCCTCCTCCCCCCCCCTCCTCCTCTCCTCCTCCTCCTCCTTCCTCCTCCTCCTCCTCCTCCTCCTCCTCCCCTAAAAAGAAAATCCCCCATAAACATAAAATGTTGCGCTCCGCGCGATTTCTTGGATCGGCGCTGGCCCCCCCGGCGGCGCCTCTGGCGCCGCCCCTGGCGCGCTCCGCTCGCCAGAGAGGGGGGGTCCAGCGCGGATACAAGAAATCCGCGCGGAGCGCCAAATAATTATGTTTATGGCGGTGTTTCTTCTTCTAGTGCATCGGTACGATCGAAAGGGGTACAAATGCGAAAAGAATGGGCGCGAAGAACGACAGCAGCTCCTGCTTATCTTGAACAGGGTTCGGTGTCGATGTCGCCGCGGAAATTGTCCACTTGATACAGAGAGCCGCCTGAAGGACACAGCGGCCGCTGTCGGTTTTGGACAACCTTTGCTCTTGGGAATCGTACCAACATTTTCCTCACCCATTTCGGGCGTCCACAAAACAAGCAAGATGTTGAAACGAGTGCCTCTTCGGGATCACCCCCAGCTCCACCCTCTGTGGAGACTCACGACAGGGGGGGGGTCGTACCATTTTCAGCCTCCAGGGGGCCCTCACTGGGCCCCGGGACCGTCCAGAAACGACCTGGGATGGAAAAAAAACGCTTCCAGGGCAGGGGCCGAGACCTCCGGGGCTCCACCGCCGTGAAAGAACACGGCGTCGGGGGTCTGGGGCAAGGGCCTCCTTGGGCTCGGGAGGGCCCCGAGCCTCGGGACGTCCCTCGGGCATGCGTCGGGGAGCCGGTCACTCGTGGCCGCAGGCTCGCCGTGGCCAGGCGAGCCCCTGCGTCCCGTCGCCTGCGCCCCATCTGTGGTGGTAGGACGACGGTTGTATACGCCTTCGGAGGTCCGCGCAGACTCCATGTCGGGTCGTCGCCGGGCCCCCCGGGCCGTAGGTCGGGCATGTCCCCCTACAGGGGCATTTTGGGCGAAGAATAAGAGATACCCAGAAATATTCCACACTGGCCATAATGGGTCAAAAGATCGTCCCCTGATTGTTTTTAACCATTTTTGAACTTTCCTCCTGGAGAGGGACAGGCCCGACTTAACCCTTGCCCACCCCCGGACCCAGCGCGCGCGACGTGCGGAGCCCCGCCGGAGAAGGCGCCGGAGGCACCGCCAGGGCTGCGGGGACAGGGGGGGGCCAGCGCCAGCCCGAGATCTGGGTTCTGCCAGGGGTGTCCCGGGTGCCGAGGGTGCCGCCAGCAGGTCCAAGGAGGCCTTCGACGGCCTCCAGAGTACGCGCCCCTCCTCCTTCCCCCTCCTCCCTCCTCCTCCTCCTCCTCCTCC